CCTTTGGGAGCTGCGGGTTGAGCCCACTCTCCTGAACAGTATGAGGCTTATACTCATGTGTGCTCTGTCTTTCAACAAGAGATCTTTATGTAATGGGTGTGTGCTGGCATTTAATAGGCGCTGATTTCGGTCTTAGCTGCTTTGGTGAATTCTTGATTGTTTTTTTAGCTATCATTGGGCACAGTCATTCTACCTTGTGATCAAGTGGCATTAGAATGACAGTACTCTGCCGGGTACATTTGAGTACAGCCAGAATTGCAAATAGCCAGGCTTTGTTGGAGTTTATAATCTGCAGTAGACACTATTGCTGCAAATAGAAGAATTGTAGATACATATGTCCTTTTTTGAATATCAGTTAGTGCCTGCCAAGGGACTATGTTCTCGAACACTATTTGAGGTACTTCCTGCCGAATTGACATTTTACTGCAAAGTTAACTTTGTGTGTGTGTAAGAAGCCCTAAAGTTCTGGTGTTCCATTATGGCACTCTAGAAAGTATTTTACTGATATCTTTTAAAATCAGCTCATCCACCCTGTGGCTGTCACTAGTTATTGCCAGCAGAACAATGCCCTTCTCACCTCTGAGCATTGTCGCTAAGTTAATAATTATAAATTCTGATTCCGTAGCTCATTCCAACCCATTTGAAATCTATTCTGCTTTTGGTGACATGCAGCGTCACTTGTTCTCAAGATTTCTTGTGTCCTAAAGAGTAAAACAAAATACCTTGGAAATCTTTCTTATGTAATCCTTCCCTCACCTGCTACCTGTTTTAAGTCTTACCTATAATACCCAACCCCTGGGCCGTGGACCGGTACCGTCCATGGCCTGTTAGGAAATGGGCCATACAGCAGGAGGTGAGTGGCAGGCCAGTGAGTGAAGCTTCATCTGTGTTTGCAGCCGCTCCCTAGCGCTAGCATCACCACCTCAGCTCCACCTCAGATCATCAGGCATTGGATTCTCATAGGAGCACCCGTCCCTGGTGCCAGAAAGGTAGGGGACCCCTGCAGTGTGTAGTATTCATTAACCAAAATGAACTCTGAAATCACTTTACCTTTGCTTTACCTCTGTGGCCAGCTGTCCAGTGGATCTGAGCCCTAGCAAAGAGCCCCTGCACTGCAGACTGGGTATTGATGGCAGGTTGTAGGTTCCAGGAATTTAGATACACACTACATTGTGTAATGATGTTTGATCCTATGGAAACATGCCAGTATCCTTGCTAGAGTTATAGTTTAGTTTGGGGGAATTTCTTAACCTTAAATAAATAAAACTAAAGGTAAGATTATCTAATACAGCAGTAATCCAGTGAACATAGAGGGAAATTATTTTCAAAAAACAAACAAAAAATAGCCTCCAAACAAGAAAATCCTGGAAAATGATGTATTATTCCTAAAAGAAAAATATGTATTATTTTGTTATTAGCCAGCTTATTGTATTCTAATGTTATTAGAAATACCGTGGTCTGTTGGAGTGAACGTAGAAAGGCAAGAAGATTCACAGAAAAGGTTTTTAACTATTTTTCTTGGTTTTACTTATCCTACTAAACTAGCACAGCAGTGCTGCCAGGTAAATTTAACTTTTGGAGATGCAAGGTTGAGTTTGACTTGATTGATTGGTACACCGCCTGAGAAGCATATGGCTCTCCTGCTTACAGTGGTGGGTCTTCTGTACGTGTGCATGTACCTTTTTTGTGGGGGTGGGATGCACCGGCTCTGTAAATGGAAGCAATAACTACAGTATTTATCAGATATGGATGACTTCGGAAAGCTGGGTATGAGCACCTGTGTGCATGGCACTTCTTCCCACTGACTGCGAGATGGAAGGTCTGTGCTATTTTTATTAACCTTATCTCTGAACGTTGTTAGGTAGTCGGTCACCCTGTAGACTGTTTCTTGAAATGTGTGTCTGAATTCTAAGAATTGTGTTTCTTTGGACACGCAGCGTCCCTAAGGAGGAGCAGGGGGCTTTCCTGTGTTCTGTCTTAGGAGGAGCGGGCAGTGTGCCGCCCTGCAGTTCCCTCTGCTGGCAGAAGGCGAGTGGGAATGAGCAGTCACTTCAGTGACAGACGTGGCAGCAAAACCAGGCCCTGTGGCTTGGCTGGTGGTTCTTCTCCAGCCACTGGTAGGCTGCCTCTAGGCCTGACCAGTCCCAAGTCCTCGTTAGAAATGGGTGGGTTTTCGTTAGAGGCTGTGTCATTTGTTTTTTTTATGCTGCTTAAACACACACCTGTCCCATGTCCATAATTCTCTTTACTGAAGACTTTTTCTAAACAAAGTTATTTCAGAACTCGTTTTAGATAAGGTTTTTTTCTTACCTATGAGGCGTTGAATTAATTAATGCACTAGCAATTGACAATTAGCTAAGGTTAGAACATTAGACAGTGAAACCATCGGTGACTTCCTTTTAGTCATCTTTATCAGTAGTTGGTAGTTGCTTCCAGGTCTTTGTAGTAGAGGCAAAGTGGGTGGTGTATTTTATGAATCGGACTTTGTGAAAACTTGTTTTTATAATCAGAACATTGGCCATGAGGCATTTGTTTTCACGGGTGGGAGACGCCTGTCGAAGTCCTGGCGGAGCCGGCCTGCCAGTGAGGACTGCTTTCCCACTGAATCAGCCGAAGTGAAATGAGCTGGTTCGACCAGCAGCCGCTTCCCCAGCACATCTGCCCTGAATTGCCAGGCTTCGTGGTCCTCAGGCTGGGCGATTCCAGAATTGTTTTCTTGGGGTCACCTCTGTGAAACGGCGTATGTCAGACTTCCGTGAGGACCAGTTAGCTAACGGATGTCTAGTGTTAGGCTGGACTGGATTACCCGCCACTGCCATGCTATAGTGTTAACGATGATTAACTTCTTAGAAGTCACCATCGAAACCAGACGTATATATCCCAGTAGTTTGGAAAATGAGGCAGATTCCACGTAGTCAGTTTGAAGCAGATCTGCCGAATTGACATTTTCTCTCCATTTTCAGGATCTCTGGAAACTAGTGTGTATAACTAACTATAGGGTCTATTGCCATTTCATCCATCGTAGAGGAAAGGAAACACCGACGACTGAAATGGTTGGGTGGAGGTAATGTGCAAGTTCATTACTGTGAAGCAGTGTTTTTAGAAGTTCAGGTACAAAGAGTTCTCAGCTGTGCTCAGTATCACACAGCAACTTGAAGCCTATTTAATTCATGTGAGTTTTAGCAACTAGATTTGAAGGCAGGCGTTTTCATGCTTTAAAAAAACGGCAGGGGTAAATAGCCAGAAATTTTGTAATATTAATTTGCCTTCTGAGAGAATAACACTGTTCAGAGTAGCTCCTGGCCATTCTAAATTGAAACTGCCAAGCGCCTTCAAAATAAGAGGAAAATCTGTCAGGTGTGATAGGGTTTGTGACATCGCTGTGGACATTGTGATTAACTGTCAGTGCTTTCAGTTGCTAAATTTAGTGTCTAGCTCAACCTGGTATTTTTGAGATTTTTCGAAGACCGTGTTAGTTATGTGATTAGTGTTTTACTTTGATTCACCAGCCAACCATAAACAATTGCTCTTCCTGTGGTCTCCAAGCTGCTCAGACAGGCAGGTGGCTTTTGTTTCCACACTAGTAGTGAAGCAGCACTGATAGATTTTATTAAATATTAGCCCTTTTTAACAGTAATACTGTGAAAGATATATTTGGGGCTTTAGTGCATTACAATTGTACTGTAGGCTTTAATAACGACAACAAAACCCCTCTGTTCTTGGATGCACACTGTCTTACTGGGAGACCTCAGCTTCCAAACCTCGGTCCCTCGTTTGGTGGATGTTAAGGATCAAGGGTGGCTGAGTAGCCTGATAGTCTGAGATCAAAAGTGCTTCACCTGGAACTTAGGAACTTGCCGAAGCTCCTTTAAGTTCCAGCTTCTCTCCCACCTGCTGACTTGTCCATCTTCTTCCTAGTTTATGAAAAATCCATTGCAGAGTATAGAAAATTTAGAAAATAGAGGAGAAAAAAAATCTAATGCTATAACTTTGTGATATTTTCTTCATCTTTTTTTCTATATGTATATATTTTTTAATAGCTCTGTGTGCTTGTACATGTGTTTTAGGACTATCAGTGGTGAGCGACCGAAACCAGTTCCAACAAACTTGAGCAAGGAGGGGATTTTATTGTAAGGATTGGGGTGTCTCTGAGCCCAAGGATAGGAACTTGGCGGGGCCCGAGGAGCAGTGGAAGCCAGGCCGTGTTTCTTCTCAGGCTTCTTTCTCTCCTTCTGCCTTCGTCTTTCTCTCATTCATCTATATGGAGGAAATATTCACAGAATCTCCCAAGTTTAATTTCTTACCAGTTCATCCATCCAGAGAGTTCAACTCAATTCCGATGTGATACCAAGACCTGCTGTGCAAAATGGGGGTTCTGAGGTCACTACTTGATAGGTGGAGGGAGGCTCAGCAGGGAGTTCCACCTCTTGGCCCCCAGGTATGTGCACGTCTTCCCTTTTCATTTATTCAGTCTCCAAACTGCCGCCCCCTTACATAATCCCGCCATCCCACTTCAAGCTGCAAAGCCACCCTGCTTCTCAGTGGGAGACAGCCGTAAGTCATTCTAGCTGCAGCCTCAGTGGTCTTGTCACAGGGCCACTGTTCTCCGGGCCAGCTGCTCTGGGCGATGTGCTTGTCTCTGGTTCAGGCGTGAGCAGGTCCAGGTGAGGCTTGTCACCATCTATAACCCTGTGGGCTAACATAACTTTAACTACCCTAGAACAGTTGGTATACATAACCTCTGGATTCCTGGCTAGGGCAGGCACCACCATTGAGGCTTCGTTTCCCTAGTGAAGTCTAACTAAGACTGATTTCCTAGTTCCAAAGATGAAATCAGAAGCAGACTCTCCTCACATGTAAGGCTTTACCCAGAGAATAGACTCAGCAGGCAGTGATAAAGCTTGCTATTGTTCCCCCGATTCCAGGTGAGTGGGCCTGGCTCTGAGCAAGATAAGCGGCGGGGGGCTTCTCTTCCAGGCCAGGCACAGGCAGGGAATGGGATGAGCAAGGTTCTGGCAGCTGCTTCAACCCCTCTGCTGGTAGGTCTCCACCGTGGACAAGGACGCAGGGGCTGGAGTCTGTCCTGCCCTGGAGAGAGCCACTGCGCTTTCCCTTTTAAGGGATTAATTAGGTGTCATCTCGGTTCTTATCAAGAGTGACCAGGTATTTGGGGGTCAGGTTCCCACGTACAAATAACCCCCCAACCTTTTAGGTTTGGTGCTAAAAGCCAGCCATGTTTTTAAAATAGCATTTATACCAAAATTCAAACTGTCTCAGTAAAAGCAGGTTGGCCTGCTTCTAATTCAGTACTTACAGGAACCAGTTAATTTGTGGGAGAGGATAGTGACAAAGGAAGAGAAAATCTCATTATAGGGTGGCATTGCTGAATGTGCCATACTTCAAAAGGATGTTCCTAGGAAACCTTACCAGCTATCGCCTGCAAATGTGTGCAGTACACGAGCGCACACGCGCATGTGCATGCACATACGGCTGCTCCCATGGAAACCGTGTAGATGAGGGTACAGTTCTTAGCAAAGCTAGGGGACAGGCAGATTAAAAAACAAAATCTGCCCAGTATATTATAAACAGTGTACATTAAATTTTGGATTCTATATTTTTCACGTGATAAAATATACAAGCATTTTTCTATATTGTAGATTTTTCCATGTGTTATTTTAATGATTGCATAATATTCCATTGAGTGTATGTGTCATTAATTTCAGTCATTTAGATATTATTGGAAATTCGGATCTTTCTAGGTTTGTATGTTTATAAATAGGATGTAATGAATATCATTGTGCACAGCGCTTTTTCCATATCTAGAATTATTTCTTTAGAATATAGAAGTGGAATTATAGGATCAAAAATATGTACATTTTAATGCTTTCCAGAAAGACTTATACTGGAGCTATCTAACTTATAACATTCGTTGCCACCAGCAATGGATGAGAAAGTGAATTTCATACCTTTGGCTATTTTATTTTTTTAAAAAATTTTAATTCATTGAACATAAAAGGTACCTTTTGATTTAAATTGCATTTCGATTATGAGGAGCAATTTGGATTATGTTTTTTATACATTTTCTTTTATAACATGTCTCTTTTGAAATCTTGGTGTTTTATTATTCTATAAACTCTTCATATAATGAGAGCTTTTTCTTCTTTTGCTTTAAACATTGTCCCCTAATTCTTTGCCTTCTAAAATTTTGTAAGTGTGTATGCGTGTGTGTGGGTGTGTTGGCATTTTTCTTTATCATGGAGTCTTGCAAGATGACAAGGTTCTAGAAAGTAAGATAAAAGAGAAGGAAGTCAGTGTACTTTCTCCCTCTGTTTTGGTGGCAGTTGCATGTGGATTACTTCAGAACCCTGTCCTTGTCATGTTAGGTTAGAAGCCTGTCTGTCTGCAGGAAGGATTGTACTTAGATAGAATAAAGTGACCTGGGCTCTAGTAATGACTCAGCTGTTGGCTAGACATGTGCCCTTGATGGGAATTTAGGTTCTCCGATCTCAGTTTATTCATCTGTGAGATGGTGGATTTTAGAAACTTTTTGGGGTAGGGGTGGGAGTTTGTGGTCATACATGCCCAAAGTGGAGAATCCTATTGACTATGAAGATTCTTCTGCATCTCATTGCAGATTTTGGGAAGTCCCAGCACAGTGACTCTTCCTGAAACCCTGTTGTTCGTGTCAACCCTGGATGGAAGTTTGCATGCTGTCAGCAAGCGGACAGGCTCCATCAAATGGACTTTAAAAGAAGGTAATTTGGGTTTGGTCCTTGGGTGATGTGGACATTTGCTCAGCTACTTCTGAGGAGGCATATTCCAGAAAAAGAGAAAAACAGTTGTATGTTTTTTAATAAAATAAAAAAGGATAATGGAGTCAAGGAGAGGAAAGCGAATTATTCTCTAAGGGTATGTTTACAGCTTGAGTTGTGATTATCTGCTAAGTGCATCAGTTGAAGAAGCACACTTCATCTTTTTCTCTTTTTTTTTTTTGCTTCTGTCTAGATTTCATGTTTAAATGGCTCTAGACTTTTCTATTAATAGTTCTGGCTTAGTCTTTACAAAGACCTGCTGCATTAAATTTTTTGTTAAGTTCTAATGATTAGAGTCTCGTGATCATCATTACAAGAAGGTATGTTCTCTAACCTCAAATGACTAATTTGTTTTTATAGACGCTGTAATAATTGAGGGCTGTAGGATTTGACATTCATCCAAGTTAGCCACTTTATTGGTTCTTTACATTGAGGGAAGCAAAAGACTGAGCTTGTTCCTCGTGTGGTAATCTCCACGCTTTTATTTTATGATCTTGTCTTCTTGGTGATAGCTGAGCGGGGTCCTCTAGCTGGGAAACTGTATTCGATTTCCAAAGTAATCTTCCTGGGTAAAGCCATGCAAATCACAGGATTCGGGCCTTTCAGTGTCATCTCTATTATTCTGTCCAGTGATATTTCTCATTTGGCCCTAGGTTGGGGTCTGATCAGCATGTTCTCTTTTCGTCAGTAATCTGTGACTCATTATTTTCATTAGCACAGCAAGTGTTTTTCCTTCCTTAATAAAATGTTCCAAAACAGTATTTTAGATAGAAAATATGGGCATATGTCAGAACGTCACACATCGTCTTGTCAATGCAGCAACAAACCTAGTTACCATCCGTAGGTGATGGCAGTTCGGGTACCACAGGCCGCCCTGGCCCACCTGTCTGGGCCCTGCTTAGAGCAGCAAGAACTTTAAGCAGCTGAAAGGACCAGCTGTTAAGAGCAAGTAGCCACAAGAAGACTGTAGAGCCAGGTTTTGGCATTGCGTTACAGGCTTTCAGAGTGTTATCCGTAGTATCTCTCCTTCATGTTTAAGCCTTTTAATGTTTTTAAAACAAAAGCAGATTTGTTTAAATTTCATAATTTCTGATTTCTTCCAAAGATGGAAATCAATGAGGTGCAAAAGGATTGCAATAAACATTTTCACTGTTGAGTGTTTAGGGCTGGTCCCTTGGTTTCTGTATTTCTAGGTAGGGCATTTTTGCCCCAAGCCACTTTATTCTTCTGCTTTGCTTTCTCCTGCATGCATTGGTTTACACCGATCTTCTCCAAGTCTTAATTTCTACAAGGAGCCTGGGCTTTATCTGGTACAACTGTGTCCTGTCTTGTTTGTTACTTAGCCAAATATAAGAATCAATCTGTTCTCTCCTATAACTTAGAGCTTAAAGAAATTGCCCCTTTTTTACTTATTTTAACACATGTTTGCAGAACCCAGTCTGTGAAAGATACTGTATGGGACACAAAGAAGAAAAAGACAGTCCTTACACTCAAGGAGCTCACAGTATGGTAGGAAGAAATGACAGGTACACAGAACTTCACCACAGAGTGTGTTGTAACCACCTCAGAGAGGTGCCAGGAGCTACTGGGGACACGGGGGGCAGGAAAAGATTCCCGAAGCTGGGGTGTTAGAACCGAGCCTTGGTGGGTGGGTTGGACTCATTCCCGAGGAGCGAGGCCTGGGAAGGAACAAGGCAGCGGGTCTAGGTGGAGCAGGGAGGTTCAAAGACACTTGAAGGAAGAATTAGAGAAATCTGATGAAGGCCTAATAATTTCAAATAATTTTCAATATATATATCTATACAAAGATTACCGATGGTAATGTATGGAGACCCTGGGTTTTTAATTCAGTTTTAATCTTGCAGTTATAAG